ATTCTTTTAACAGCATTTAAATGAGCTTCAGTGGGTGCATGCATGAATTGGCTTACAAGACTGACGGCGTAAGTTATATCCGGTCTGGTGATGGTGAGATATATAAGCTTGCCCACCAATCGTTGGTAGTAACTGATATCACTGAGAGGTTCTCCTGTCAAGTCTAACTTCAATTTGCTATCAAGAGGAGTACGAGTTGGTTTGCAATCCATCATCTTCACTTCTTGAAGTATGTCAATCACATATTTCCTTTGACTCAAAAAAAGTCCCTTGGGGGAAGTGGCCAGTTCAATCCCAAGGAAGTATTTTAAAACTCCTAAGTCTTTAATGGCAAATTGTTGATGAAGAGAATGTTTAAGAGTGTGAATCTCATCAATGTTATCACCTGTGATGATGATATCATCAACATAGATTAGTACAACTAATTTGCCAACTGATCCTATTCGAACAAACAGGGAGGAATCAGCATGACTTCTCTTGAACCCAAAATTTTCAAGTACCGAGCTTAGTTTGGCATACCAGGCACGAGGAGATTGTTTCAAGCCATAGATTGACTTATGAAGCTTGCAAGCCATACCTGAATTCTGTGCTTGTGGATGACCCGGGGGTAGTTGCATGTAGACTTCCTCTTCGAGGTCTCCATGTAAAAAAGCATTTTTTACATCCATTTGGTACAATGGCCATTCATGGTTCACTGCAACAGATAACAAAACCCTTATTGTGCTCATCTTAGCCACGGGAGCAAATGTCTCCTTATAGTCCACTCCAAAAGTTTGAGTAAAACCGCGAGCCACCAATCTTGCCTTGTGTCGTTCAATTGAGCCATCAGAATTAAACTTGATTTTATAGACCCACCGACTGCCTACCACCTTCTTGCCTTTGGGAAGCTGAACTACACTCCAGGTTTTATTTTCATTCAAGGCTTTGAGTTCTTCTTCCATGGCTAGCCTCCACACAACTTGACGATTGGCTTCTTGAAAGTTCCTTGGTTCACTTTCATAGGACAGTTTACTGAGGAAGGCTGCATGAGAGTGAGAGACTTTGGAGTAATTTACAAACTTGTGAATAGGGTACCTTGCATGGTAAGTTTCATAGTCTTGCAGCCTTGATGGTGGATGTCGATCTCGAGTCGGATTCCTGCGGGGTTGAGCTGGGATCACAATAGGTTCAGCTCCACTCTCTTGCATAGATGTTGTGTTATGGTCATGGAGAACTACTTGTGCTTCTGAGGCTTCAGTGTCGTCTCCAATAAGCAGGTTGTCATTAAGGGTTGCATGAGAGTCCCGGTTGTGAGGTAGTGAATGGACACAGTCACTTGGTTCGATTGGATTTGGCAATGGGAAGAGATCTAGGAAGTGCTCCCCCTGATGATTTTGATTTGATGATTTGTTGAAAAATGGTTGGTTTTCATCAAACCGTACATCTCTTGAGACAAACATCTTCCTAGTGCACGGATTGTAGCATTTGTACCCTTTTTGGGTGGAGAAGTATCCCATGAAAACACACTTGACAGCTTTGGGATCAAGCTTGTCTCGGTGATGGGATTGAATATGAACATAACAGGTACATCCAAAGATTCTCAGATGGGAAAGATTTATTTTTTTTGTTTTGCATAACCTCAGATGGTGATTTTGTATCCAGAACACGACTAGGCAGTCTGTTGATAAGGTAGGTGGCTACAAGAACTCCTTGAGACCAAAACCTCTTAGGCACATTCATTTGCAACATTAGCGCCCTGGTTTTTTCAAGTAGGTCCCTATTCTTCCTTTCGGCAATTCCATTTTGCTGAGGAGTACCTACACAACTTGTTTGATGTATAATTCCATGGGTGCTCAAATACTTAGTCATATTTTTGGATGTATATTCAGTGCCATTATCAGACCTTAGTATGTGGATTTGGGACGAAAAATGGTTCATGACAAGATTATGAAAGTCCTTGAAAGCATCCATAACTTCACTTTTGAATTTTAGGAGGTACAACCAAGTGGCTCTTGAGAAATCATCAACAAAGATAACGTAGTACCTATAACCATCAAAAGACTCTAGAGGTGCAGGTCCCCAAACATCGGAGTGCACCATCTCAAAAAACTTGCTAGTCCTAGACATGGAAGAATTGAATGGGAGTCTAGTAGATTTTGACAAATGACAAATTTCACATACAAGGGAGGATTTGCATAAACTAAGGAACAACGTAGACAACACAGATTCTGAGGGATGTGCTAGGCGTTGATGCCACAACCGATGTTCTAGGTTTGAGCTGACTTGGAACCCCTTTGGAACATTGAGGTCCTCTAAAAAATAGTACAACCCATTTAGGTAGTGACCTTCACCAATCAGCTTCTTGGTCGCTAGATCCTGAAAAACAACATTGTGGGGGGAAAAAATTGCACGACAGTTTAGAGAGTTTGTAATCCTTCCTACGGACAATAATTGAAAAGGAAAAGATGGAACATATAACGCTGTGGACTCAACAGTTTCTGAGATCAGTTTAACTTTCCCTTTACCTAGAACTGGCACACCTCTACCATTTGCTACAGAAACTAGTGATGGTTTAGTGTAGCTTTCAAAATCGTATAGCTTTGAATATTGATTTGTCATGTGATCTGTGGCACCTGAGTCTATAATCCAAAAATCATGAGAGTGACTAACATTTAGAGCAGTTGAAAGAGCACACATGATACCTGGAATGTCTCCTTGAGGTACATGACCAGATTCAGCTAAGAACCCTGCAAACTGTCCAAGAAGAGCAGTTTGACTTTCCCCAATCGACGTTTCACCTGTGCTTCCTTTTCTAGTTTGAAGGTAGGTTGAGAACTCATTCAACAAGTCAGCCGGATTGGCTGTAAAGTTCATTGACCCACCGATGGATGTAGCAGCAGCAGCATGGTACTTGTTTGTATGTGGTCTAGCGTGTGAGCCCTTATGATCTCTTAAAGGCTTGTTCTCAAACCTTGGCTTCAACTCAGGGTGCAATATCCAGCATCGATCTATTAGATGTCCAACATTATTACAATGTAGACACTTCAAATCTGGCCTTTTTCCCTTGTATACTTTATCTCCAAATGACTTGTGATTTGTCACAAAAGCTCTAGCCGCAGACACACTAGGTTTTACGTCAACATTCATGACTTTTCTGCGTACTTCTTCTCGCTGGATAGTAGTGCAAACACTTGCAAATGATGGAAGTTCGGGATTCATTAGAATATGGCTTCTAAGATCTTCATATTCAGAACCCAAACTTGCAAGCAAATGAAAGATTTTGTCTTCCTCGGACCTTTTTAACAGTACGGCAGCATCGATAGTGTGTGGTCGATACATATCTAGTTCGTTCCACATGTTTTTCATGCAACCGAGATGATGAACAAAGGATTTATCACCTTGTTGAAGACTTGCGAGATTCCTCTTAAGCTGGAACACTCGAGCAGCATTGTTTTGATTTCCATACATGTCCTTGACTGCCTTCCCAAGAGCACTAGAGGATTCTGAAAAACTGAAAATTTCAGACAGCTTAGGATCCATGGAGTTGAGGAGCCATGACATGACCTGCTGGTCTTTGCACAGCCATGCTTCATACTCCGGCGATGCGACGTCAGGTGCTTTAATACTTCCATTGACGAATCCAAGTTTGGACCTTCCTCCAAGCGCAAGAGATATTGATCTTGACCATGGAAGATAGTTAAACTCATTTAACAACACAGAACACAAACGTTGGTTTGGGTTGACTTCAGCTTCTGGAAAACTAGGGCGAGGAGCTATGAAGCTTTCAGCGTCTGAGCCAAAAAGATTATCTTCTGCTATTATTGAAACGAATGTGCAGAAGAAGAGAAGGGACAACAATGGAGTCAGGCCGGTTAAGGTTCCGGCTCTGATACCATGTGGAAAATATGGAAGAGAATGTTTTTTCTCATTATGTTTCTCTACAAGATTACAAGGATTTATATACATGATACAAGTGTGTAGGTAGGACAAGGTAGGACGGCTGTAGGACGGCTAGTGTGTAGGTAGGACAAGGTAGGACGGCTAGTGTGTAGGTAGGACAAGGTAGGACGGCTGTAGGACGGTTAGTGTGTAGGTAGGACAAGGTAGGACGGCTGTAGGACGGCTAGTGTGTAGATAGGACAAGGTAGGACGGCTGTAGGACGGCTAGTGTGTAGGTAGGACAAGGTAGGACGGCTTATTCTTCCAATAAGTTGGGTGAATTTGGACTACATTATGCTAGCTCATTGTAAGACTGAGTTCATATTTTCTCCTTAAAAAAAATTCCTAGTCAGGTTGGAGATCATGCGCTGTTTGGTCTAGACATGCCCCTTAATTTGTTGGGGAGGGTCACCTGACATTCTACATCTTCCACGAGTGCAATTATTGGTGATTATTTCGTATTTATTAAATCTGTTTTTTTTTTTGTTCAACAATAAATTTTGTCAAATTAGATCATAGATTTGTCTTTTTTTCATAATTAATAAATTTGGCCTCTATAATCTATTCTTAGTTTGCTCTCTATATTTTTTGAGGGAAACGACCTTAATTACAAACATTAAGTAGACGTACAATCGTCAAGATCTATACACAACTATACTGGCGAATCTTCAAATGCAAGTTCTTTATATTATTTATATTACATAACGGACTCAGATTTTTTTTTCTTGCTTCAATAATGATAGTGTTTAATGTTTACTTAGCAAATGCATATGTTTTCTTGCCTACTTTAATTAACAAATAATTTAATATCATTATTAACGTGCTTTTGGTTTACCTTGAAGTATAACGATTTGATGCAGTTGGTGTCCTACCAACAAAAATCGAGTTGCTGCTTCAATAAGTAAGAAAGAATCAGAAAAATAAATGGTACGAAATTCAAAGCATTGCTTTTGTCAACACTAGCAATGATGCCCGCGCGTTGCTGCGGGATTGAAAATTATATGTACAACATATTTACAATCCTATTTACACATAATATCCTAATCAGCATTTAATTGAAATGAATAATTAGTCACTTACTCAGTAAGGACCGAGTACTTTTCACTTAGCCTAGAGTAATGGCCTGCATGAGGAAAGCTGAAGATGGTGACATCGATTTTCTTCCATTGGAGACAGGATGGACGTCCATCTCATGCACATCAACTTCATGCAACACCAAGAACTCCATCCCCGTTTGCTCTTCTAAATATGACCAACTGGTCCAATGTTTTGCCTACAAAGAACTTAGAACATCAAATCAATTAATCTTGAACCACATTAAAGAAATTTAAACAACCCCAAAATTTAATTTGTAGCCCAAAAAACCAGAGGAACAGTAATCGTGACATTTGATGAGTACATATATGAAAAATGTACCTGAAGATTGAAACTTTCATCAAATAAATCACAAAAAAGCTGAAAATTAGAGAAACCCAAAATTATAAATTGCATAAAATTAGATAATCCATTTCAGTCATGCGTAAATTTACCATCACACATAACAAATTTGCCTATTTGATGGTGATACACGATGTAATTGTTCAGATTCAAACCACACACAAAGCACTTGCAGCTCCCAAGTATACGTGTATCACATTCTGATGTTTGCTTGTTGACTTTGCCCCTGGAGTCCTGACTAATGCGATCTCCTTCAGTGGTGCATGCACTTTTTTGTCCGAAGTTGCTTCCTTAAACATCCCTCTTTCCTAAAAAAAAAGACCCAAAACATATCATATTAAGCATCAACGCTATTAATATTTATTAAAGAAATTGGTCACAACAGGTTTCACATACATCACTTCTAAACCTAAAAGGCTTCAGATTTGTAGGCTTTGGTTCCCCATGAGCATTGCTGGCAACAGATGTGGAGTTTTCTTTCTGAATCTTATCTGCTTGATTGACCTGCAACATTGTTCAAGCGTTAACAGGCATAAAAAACCATAAGGGAGAAATGAACAAACATAAACACTATATAGATACGTTATTCTCATATACTTTGTAGCCTTCTTCAAGGCCTGGAATTATACAACTATTTTTTCCACTAATAGCTCTTATTTACATCTTTACTGGATTTGCATCACTTGGTTTATATTAATAAAATTAGAGGATTGCACATGCTTCTTTTTGGACGCCAAAACATTTTTTTTTTTTTCAATTATTCTAGTTCCTTGTGGTTGAATGGGATTCTAAGCTTCAGATTTCGAAAACGGAGAGTTTTGAAAAACCTGAGAGTCGGCACCAATGAGCTTAAACAGAACAGATGAGAGCTATTGAGATAGAGCTAAGCTACTTCAACACTTCCATAAGTCCACGTCTCCACCCAAGCCTAGACATCCCAACATTGCCCAGATAGGTGTCCCATCTTGACCTGCAAGATTTACACAGAATTGCAAAGTTGGAAGAGGTTTAAGCATGAACAGAATGTAAAACGCAAAACTTTATAGCAGCAAATTGGGTTGCAAGCGAGAAGTAACCATCATGAATAAAAAGTGGGTACACAAAATTGGCAAGAGATGAGCTTGTTTCCCGAAACGCAGCTATGAGTGACGGTGATCAATCTCTCCATTTTTTACACAATTAAACTCGAACCTGTGGATAACTGAGGTTTGGAATCCTACTGAAATCAGGAATAGGCCATTGTAAGTTCGTCAAACTCCTGAAAGAAACAACAAAAACACAAAGATATTCAGTCTTGACATGATTCATTGTGTTAAATATTAAGAGCTACTTCTCAATTGTCGTTCCAAACAACCAGCACCATCACCTAATGTGATATAACATCAGATAGAAACGGGAGATGTTCCCTGCACAGTGGTTGGAAAAATGAGTTTCCCAACAAAAACTATGATTCCCTCTGTTGTTGCTATGATTAATCACAAATCTTTTGGATTTACACCTCCGTAGTTGGAGCTTTAAATCTGATGTATGAATAAATAGAAATTGTAGTCCTTAGATCACACAATTTTACCTTTAGACTTACTAAAAGACAGAATCAGAAGCAGCACTTACAACTTGAACAGTTTAGACATGTTGCTATACAAATCTGGAATTGTAGTCCCACCAAAGTTGTTGTCAACTTGACTGCAAAACAAATAAGATTATAGGGCTAAGAAACTTGATACGGGATTGCATCCCTCAAATTATGTTGTAGAAAAGGGAAAGTCTAGAGAATTGTTTCCAACAGTACGAAAATTCAAGAAAGGAAAGGATGAAAACATAATTAAGGCACAAATTTATGTTCCGAAGTAAGAAAACATACAGTATTAATAAGCTTGGCAACTCTGAGAACTATGGCGGAAGATACCCGGATAAGTTGTTGTTGTCAAGAAGACTGCAAAAAGGTATTGGTCTGTAATGTGATTTGTTTTCTTTTCAGTAGACATCTGATTAGAGTAGAGTTTTTTCTTCTTTTTTTACTTCACATTAGAATATAGGGGTTGATCTATGACATCTACCAACTGATAATATATGCATGCTCTAACGCAAGAATAAAATATGAACATACGGTGTTGTGAGCTGCAAAGCCACCTTACTGCTGCGCAAGAGCATCTCCCATGCTTTGGTACATATCTATTCGAGCTGCAGCAACAGTGCTATCAGGATTACACAACAATAATTATTTGAATATTAGAAAGAAATCAAACAAACAAAAGAGGAGAAATATTTGATGACCAAACAATCGTCAATTTCTTCAGCCATTAAATAAACCTTCTTCGACTGTTTAAGGTCACAATCAAAAAAGCAAACCCTTGATAGAGTTTTAGGCAACAATAATCAAGAGGAAACCAAAAAAAAAAAATTGGAGATTTTTAAGAACCAAAAACTCTGCAATCAAACAAAATATATTCCACAAAAAGAGTTTAGAGAGAAAAAAAGAGGAGAGTGAAGAGGCTTACCATCCTTCAAGGCAACCAGAACTTTCAGATAAAATCACGCCAAAAAAACTACGAATGGATTTTCAACTTTCTCCTTGTGGGAGTCCATTGACTTTCAGCCTCCACCTTCTTCTCGACTCTGCAAACGCAAACAGACAAAGATAAAAATCATTAGACTCAAATGTAGGCGTAGTCATATTGGCTACAGCGGATACGCATCCCTATGCACCCGAGTTCAAACACCCTACTTGCAACCGCAGATTAGATTAGTTTAAAGCAGAACATCCCTTGTATCAAAAATTTAAAAAAAAAAAAAAAAAAACATAAAACCATCACCAATACCATTTCTTTCTTTAGTTTCAAACTTCGAAGTTTTTCAATTTGGGTTTGCTTCCTAAGAGTCTAAGACCATAAAGAACGTCAGCTATCTCAATCTCAATGTCCTCATCTTTTTCTACAGCCCTGAAGATTTTGAGGATTTCAAATACCAATCTTAGGTCCATTTGATTCCTAAAAATATATGAATTCATAAGCTAAAAAATCTCAAAACTTTCCAAAAACTTCTTCAAAAATCATTTTTCGAAAACATAGTACCAACTGACCATCGTCTTCCTCGATGAAAATTAAGAGGGCAAAAGCGACGTAGCTTTGAAGCTCAGTTGCTGAAGACTCTGTTCTTCCTCCCCAACTCCTCCATAACTCCTAGAAGAGAAATTTAAAAATAAATAAATATCAAATTTAAAAACGAAATCCAAAAACAGAGCAAACAGGTTGGGTCACTCTCGAGTTTGGGTGCGAGCTTATCCCTAACCTTCACACCAGAAAAGAAGAATATGTAAAAATTAATCAGAGTTTTCATAAAATATACTACCTGATTACCTGCTATTGGAAACAAATAATAAATATACAGGGAATTTTAAAATAATTCAACTGCATGCAAATTAATCGAAATTTGTAAAGAAAAAAAAACTCAAAATATTAGTAAAATTAAGAAGAAAAATTATTAACCACACAACCAAATTTAATAAAAATAAATTACTGAAATTAAAACCCAAATTCCAGAAATAAAGAAAAATGGAACATTTATATGGAAATTGAAGCTTTACCTGCAGATCGGCAACAGCGGCAGGTACCTCAAGAGTGAAAGAGAGAGAGCTGAAGATGCGTGAGAGAACAGAGGGAGGAGTGTCTTGCGATCCATGGCTTTGTGTAAAGCTTGAAGACCTTGTCGAAATACGCGCGGTACTCGTGCCTGAACAAATTAAAAAATTTGAAATTAAGAAATAGTTGTTCACAATGCAAAAATCCAAACTAAACAAAAATCAATGCTTTCAAAGTCGTATGGCATGCTGGCTTATCACAATTGTTTAGTATAAATTTACACACATTATATATGGATAAATTTAAATAAAAAATAAAAGATAACCAAATCATACACTCGTAGTCTCCATATTCCCCCAGCAGGCAAACCTTGATGGGCTCCCCTTGAAAGCTTAGTTAGTGAACGCACCCACCTGCACACGCACTGCAGAACTTAATTCATACACATAGGAGAGAGAGAGAGAGAGAGAGAGAGAGAGAGAGAGAACCACAAAGTCCCGATTTTCAATCCCACTGCGGAGAGAAATCGATCCGATCCTCATATCCCTCAATAAAATGTATAAGAATATTTAAAATTTTGTTAAAACTCATAAATTTTTTCCGTCACTGTAAATTTTAACCCGTCCATTTTCCGTCTCTCTCCCCGAACGGTTAGGGTTTGGTCCAAAGTAACAAAAATCGAAAATAAAAACTCAAATACAACTATTATAAAATCTACCTGAGTTCGATAAAATTTGTTTCACCACGATTTGAAGACCGGCCGCTCCCACACATCGTGGGCAGGAGGAAAATTCGATATGGGTTCGTGTGGAGGTGCATCGATGATTGTTCGACGGATTTAACTGAGATAATGAAGAGGAATGGGGTGAGCAGCGCTAGGGCTAGGTTGAGAGAAATGGAGAGAGAAGTCTCTCGAATTTGAGAGAAATGAGAGAGAAACGGTGCTAGGGTTACAGAGTGAGAAAAGGGAAGAACGGGGGATTTGATGGATGGTTATCGAGAGAGTAGGGAGAGATAAAGAGGGAAAGAAACAGCGGTGGCAATTTTGTAAATAAAGTGAAATTCGGCTCAATCCTACGGACACAATTACCCCCCTAACTTTTGGGAATTACCTTCCCAACCCAGCCCAGATCTGATGGTTTTTGTTGTAAATAGCGTGAAATCGAAGGGCAAACAATTGACTGTAGCCCAATGAACAGTCAATCTCTCCTTAGTTTTAGAATAGATAATATGCTTAATTTCGTTACGGTGGGTGAATCAGAATGTTTCTTTCTTCTTTCTTCACAGTTCACATGGCATGAAGAAGCACTTTGTTTCTTCTTCTTTTTGAATAAACGATACTGATCACGAGCCAAATTTTTATCTATATATATGAGTTTCATACTCTTCATAGAACTTAGTTCCATGACAAGAAGAAGCAAATTTAGCCGCTTATAAGTTATAACACATATGACGATTTACTCTTGCATTCGAGATACAAAATTCATTAACTTCTATAACATGGCTTGTATAAGAAACAAAAATTACAAAAATCACCACATTGATAGCATGCATCCGCGAGGACTGATAATAACAATATAATATATCGATAGTAATTGAGTCAGTCCACTCTTATATTGAAACTCATTTTTAGAGTTATCTTTAAAAGAAGTTGATATTTGTTAAAGGTTTTTATCACAAATGATCTCTGAAATTGACCCTCACCATCAAGATGGTCCTTCAAATTAAAAATCAATCAATGTAATTAAGTGTCACAAATCAATGTGGTTCTACTGTCACAATTCTATTAAAAATTCCGTTAAATGCTGATGTGGCACATAAATAGCCCCCATAAGATTTACGGGTTTTTATCACAAATGGTCTCTGAAATTGACCCACACCATCAAGATGGTTCCTGAAATTGATCCACACCATAATATGGTCCCTGAAATTGAAAATCAATCAATGTAGTCCTTGAAAATAAGTGTCGCATATCAATATGATCCTCCCGCCACTATTTTGTAAAAAAAAAAATTGTTATGTGCTAATGTAGGTTTAATAATTAATTTAAAAAGTTGTTTAAATATTTTTTATGCACAATGAAATTTCTTTTTTCTTATAGTAAGGCATACTCCAAAGAGAGATCTATTCCATAAATTCATAAAGGCACTAGGCTTAACCAAGGCCTAAGAGGGGGTGTGGAAATATTTTTCAACCAACAATAGATGCACCTCAGTTATAACCTCATTATCTCAATGCAGACCTCGCCGTTCTTTGCATCACCAAACCACCAGAGAAGCGCGAAACAACCTCTCCAAGATTAAGGCTATGAGGATGTTGATCGCCTAAATGTTAACGGTGATGTCCCAGAAGTCGTTGTCAATGGGCTAAGCTGTCACCAAAGGTGATCTCAATCCAAGTTCAATTCGGTGAAGGGTGTCGAAATGTATAAAATACATGTATTGGTACTTTTTTTTAGAGAATAGAGAGTGAAGGAGGTAGACAAATGTGGACTGGGATCAGAGGTGATTATAGGACAGGGTTTTGGGTTGACAATTTTATTATTAACTATTAAATTATTAAGCCTATTTGTAATTTTTTTTTAATTTAATTAGATTTGTGTGACCTATTTATGTGTCATATCAGCACATAATAGAATTTTTGACAGAATTGTGATTGAAGGACTACATTGATTTGAGACACTTACTTGCAGGATTACATTGATCAATTTTCAATTTTAATGACCATTTTGCTATTGCGGGTCAATTTCAGGAACCATTTTGATGTCGTGGGTCAATTTTAAGGACCCTTTGTGAGAAAAAATGACTTATGAGACCCATTTATATGCCACATCAGAACTTGACATAATTTTTAATATAATTGTAATGGAAGGATCACATTGATTTGCGACACCTATTTTCACGGACTACATTGATTGATTTTCAATTTCAAGAACCATCTTGATAGTGAGGGTCAATTTCAAGGATCATTTGTGATAAAAACTCATTTGTTAATTATAAGGCATTTGTTAATCCACGAGACATGCATGAATTTGCCATCCATACATTGATTTAGCAATCATGTTTTCGCCTGATTTGGATAGAGATGTGGACTCGTTTGACAAGTGCTTTTAAATAACTAAAAGAGCTTTTAGAGAAAATGTTTTTGAAACTATTCTTTAGTAAAAATGCAAGTTAATAAAACGCAAAAAGCACATACTTGGTGCTTCTTGAAGGAAGCACTTCGAGTACTTTTGAAATCCAAAAATATTTTCTCTAAAAGCACTTTCAAACATAAAAAAAACTACTTACCAAACGAGCCTATAGACAGAGAGATTAGAATTGTTGAAGAAAAGATCTGAACTCATAAAATGTACCTCACTCACCATTCACCAAATCTGCATTATCGGATTGTGTTTAGGTATATAGTGGCATCTCATGTGTGATTCCTCAGATATACTTTTGGACTCTAATTTTGAACAATACTTGGTTACTCAAAGATGAGTACGAACTCCTACTCAAAAACTTTCAAAATTGTTCATTGTCAATTTATATAACTTCGTGTTTTTAATCAGAACCGTTTATATTATAAATCACCCTATAAAGATCGCCTTTGCAAAAAATCAATTAAAACTAAGGTCGTTTAGTCATTAAGTTGTTTAAAAACAAACGGACGGTATTAATAAAAGCATCATAAACCGTCTATGTATTTGCTACAATAGATTGACTTAACGACCTTAGTTTTAATTTATTTTTTGCAGATATGATCTTTACAGTGTGATTCATAATATGAATGGTTATGATCATAAGCACAAAGCTCTGTGATTAAAACACTAAGAGTTTTGAGTAGGAGTTCCTACTCATCTTTGAGTAGCCAAGTATTGTTCTTCCTCAAATATGCCACAAAAAGGATTTAACTTCGCTGCTGAAAGAATCAGCAGCCCCTCCTGCTGAAAGAATCAGCAGCCCCTCCTGCTGAAAGAATCAGCAGCCCCTCCTGCTGAAAGTCTATCACGGCGCAACATGTGTCCAAGTTGTGATTAAAAAAATCACAACTTTTTAATCACAACTTGGACACATGTTTAGCCGTGATTAGTTCTCAGCAGGAGGGGCTGCTGATTCTTGATCAGTCAAGTCTTGTTCCTACAAAAATGTCTAAACACCAAAAAAACTAATAAAAATAGAAATAATCGAATTAAACTGTGGCCATTAGAATGAGAACTGAAAGATAATGGGTCCAATTGTGCCTTACATGTTTATGGTAAAAGTGCAGCTGCATGCTGTAGACAAAATTGTTGTTCCTTGTAGACAAAGGCATCTTCATTGCACATGAATAATAATAATGTAATGAAAAGGGTTTCCTCATCATTCCCTACTTTATTCATAGTCATTTTGCGGTTTATATATATTTCCAATAATCATATTCTATTAGTCATATGATCTTATCGTCCAAAATTGCAGCTTCAAAGTATAGTATGCATGTAAAATATTCTAACATAGTCTACGTGTGCTTAATTAATATAGAACTTAAGAAGTAACTATATAGTAGATTTATACAGCAACAATCACTTGTTTAGGTCCACTCTATAGTGGTATCTTCACGGCCGGATTCATTTAGGGACTAGGGTTCTGGGACCTTCCCGGAAAACGAAAAAAATGGCTTGGAAGGTCTCCCAAAAATATTATGGCATTCTGGTACAAGACCCAGTAGTGCCCACCAAGTATTCCATTAGATACCTTCTCCGTACGTAAACCTCGATATGCAGCGACAACATGGTTTGATAGTGTCAACAAGCCAACAAGTGTTTAACGAAATGCCTCACTGAAAAAACTCAGTATTATCAACTAAACTCAAAAAAATTGTACGCACTGCGAGCAATGTTTTTTTCTATAAAACAAATTATTGAACTTGTATACTATAGGACCCTGTGAAGTATGATTAATGGTACTGCCATTGATTATCTCATAATTTAAATTGTTTATTTTTTTTTTATTTTTTGAACAAACGATATTATCTACACTAAGGGAGGGGTGGGTTTAGCCTCACAATGGGCTAGTAATAATGTGGTTCAAATTTGCTTTTGGCAAGAATCGAACCAAAAACCTTTCACTTGCACTAGTTCATTCATGAAAATGGCTATTTTTATTGTTTATCATTAGATTCATGAAGTTTTCACTTGTTTCATCGTTTAGACCTGCACAGGAAGCCACGTTCTAATGCATGTGTTAGTTACTAATCTAGACTAGCATATGATAGTTAAAAAATTGAAAATAACAAGATAAAAAGGCATGCTGGTCTTCTTCGCTCGTCTTCGGATCCTTTTTACTCTTATGTCACTAACAGGCAACAGCCTTCCTTCTTTGCGTATCAAAGGTACGTGCAGTCCTAATTTAAGCCAAAAAAAGAACTTAATTTGTGTTGTGTGTGAAAGAGGAGAACAACAATTATAAATGGAGTGATTGTTGTGTGCCGTTTCGAATACAATGCCATGCAGTGAAAAATTTACGTACATTATGATTGGAACATAACGCCACCGTGGCGAGTTTAGAGAAAGCTTGAGGCAAAAGCTTTGGATTGCATGGTCTTTGTTTGTGACAGTGAGCTCAACTTTTATGCCTTCTTTTTCTTTGAAGAAGATGGAGAGCAGCCAACATGCACTTGAAATGGAGTAGTGCAAATTGAAGATGCAAAGAGATGTTGATGTGAGGTGGGGTGGGGGCATCTTTTTGTTGAGTTGGATCTATCTATTCTGGGATGACAATTGACTAAAGAGAGCCATATAATTAGAGTTTAAAAGTCGATCGCCAAAGAATTAGATTTGGAGCAATCTGCTTTCTTTCTTTTTCTTGTTTCAGAAAATTAGCTAATTGTGGGCAGTGTGTATGAGGGCTTAGGCCGTTTTCTTTGACACTTTTTTTTTTTTTTCTTTGGCTTTGATATATTGCATGTCATTATCCACTAGTAGGAATTGGTTAGGTCATAAAGGTACCAAAACTAGCTGCACTATAAATTTTTTTAATCAAA